CTGCCGGGACATTTCTTCTGCATTGCTGCAAGTGTAAGTCCCAGCATGACCCGGTGATATAGTGTTGGGGCTGCATTGGCTCAGCTGAACACTGCAGGCTAGGAACTGGTTAATGCCCCTGCCATAACTTACCTCTTGGGGTGTATGAGTTTAGGGTGGGCCTGATTTGTAGAATCCCCAGGTGCTGAGTGACATGTGACAGTTCTGAGGTTAGCAGACCTGGATCTAATCCTTGGCTTTGGTTTATTTTTCTCATGATCAGGGAACACTTTGTGCCTGCCCTGCAAGTGTGGGCTGTATGATGATTGCAGGTATTTCCTACTTATTAACTCAACCATGTCTATGGGAGTCTAATGGGGCATGCAGGAAGTCGGAGAAGCTGATCAAGCAGCTTGCCTGGGTGCAGTGAGAGTGTAGATACTGCAGTGCTGGATGTCAGGTTTGCAGTGATTGTGGATGGTAGGGGTGAGTGTACATACAGCACCGCCTTGCTGATTGTAAATGCAGATTTACTATAGGCATTGCATAGATCCCTCCAGGTGCAGTGTTATGGTATGGGACATGATTACTGGGGTCTTGGGATACATTGTAACATATTTGATCCTCCTTGTAATTCTGATGTGACAACACAGAGCAGTGTGATAACTTTTGTATCAGAGTCGCCCAATGAAGGATCCATTGTTACTTTTGCTAAACTCTGCATTGCATGACAGTAAAGCAGCACTCGGGCAATTCCCATTGGGCACCGGGGATACTTCGGGGAGTTGGTGAATGAAGGTGCAGAGCTGGATTCCTGGCTGTCCTGCAGCATCACATAGACTTTATACAGTGCCCATGTCCATTACTTACTCTGAGAGGCTCATCTACCTGTGGGTGAGCACCCCATTGGGCAATGTACATGGCAGGTTGGGGAGAGCTTGGGCTGCATTGCTCCCTGAGCTCTATCATGTGCTGCTGATCTCCCCAGCCCGGTTCCACGCCTCCAGCAGGTGTCTAGTGTATGTATGGGAGCGTGCTGCCGCTGCCGTCCGGTCCTACCGCACGCCTGCTTCACTCAAACACGGTGGGCTCAGCGGAGAGCAAAGAGCAGCTGCTGCGGCGCTATT